TGCTTCCGTTTGTGGATTAACAGTCTAGGCATAGGCACATATGTCAACAATGTCTTCGAGGACGTTCGAACTGGGTATTGTTTTTGTTCTTCCTTCGACTTATGAATTACTTTTACGTCCTTACGGACGAGCTTGAGATATGACGTTCATACTGCAGATGGGTTCTTTTGGAAGTTCTTGACAAAGTTTGTCCTGGATCAGTAATCTGGAAACAGGCAACGAAGCCTCCTATCAAGATGCCGTTTAGAAAAGTTGAGAATTGCAACCAAGTAGTAAAACTTGGGAAGGACTTGAAATTTTCTCTTGTAAACGTTGCTGGGAATGATATTGTGCAGGGCAACAAGAAGCTTATACTAGGTAACTACAATATCTTTCTACTCTTCGTTTATTTACAACTTTTATTGATATGCTCGTTCGATCTTGAAACGGGATGTTGTCGTGCAGTGTTTATAGTTTGTTTGATTCACTGGTTGCTGGTGGAACGGTTAATTGACTGTACTTGTGAGCTAAATATATTCGAAAGAAGAACGAAACGAATTGGTAGCTTTAGTAGATGAACTTGTCTTAAGCAACGAACTTACTTGAATAGGTTAGTTCTTACAAACATAGTTAAAAGAGGCTAGGAAACACGGATACATAAAACAAGGGATTCTATTTGTAACAGCTCAAGCCCACCGCTAGTAGATGTGGTTCTCTTTAGGGTTTTTCTTTCGGGTTCTCCTCGAGGGTTTTAAAATGCGTCTGCTAGGGAGAGGTTTCCACGCTCTTATAAAGAATGTGTTTCGTTCTCTTCCCCAACCGATGTGGGATCTCACACTATCAACTTGTTCCGACCTAGGATAATAGGCTCATGAGGCTTTCTCTTTCATGCTTCCCTCAAGGTTTTTAAAACGCGTATGCTAGGGAGAGGTTTCTACACTTTTATAAAGAATGTTTGGTTCTTCTCTCCAACCGATGTGGGATCTCACACTATCAACTTGTTTCGATCTAGGGTAATAAGCTCACGAGGCTTTCCCTTTCATGCTCCCCTCAAGGTTTTTAAAACGCCTCTTCTAGGAGGAGGTTTCCACACTCTTATAAAGAATGTTTCGTTCTTCTCCCTAACGATGTGAGATCTCACACTATCAACTTGTCCAACCTAGGATAATAAGCTCATGAGCTTGGTCTTATTTTACTATTGAGAAACGAACGAAAACTTCCATCTCCAAGCTTAACTCAAACGTAGCTTGCTTCTTTTTGGGTGTGAAGTAGTGTCAAACTAAAATACCCAACGAGCATTAGTTCTCCTTGAAAAGGAGGTTATCGAGCCATACCTACCTTGTTACAGCTTCACTTCAGCCATGTAGGTCGTTACACGAGAGGCAGAGAGAGTAACATCTAAAGACAATTACATTGTTATTGAACAGCATTTTTATGGCAACTGATGAGGTTTACAATGCTTCAACTGTTGAAAAACCTGAGATCACATTCTCAAGGCAAAGAGGGAAAGGAGATCACGGATGCTGATATTCTGAACTGGGCTAACAACAAAGTGAAGAAAGCTGGAAGAACCCACCAAATGGAGAGCTTCAAGGTAAACAAGTTAAGAACATTAGTGTTCTTCCTTCACTTTCTGTAGTTGATTGTGTGATGTGGATGATATTAACTTCTGGTTTCAGGACAAGAATCTTTCAAATGGCATGTTCTTCCTGGAGCTTCTTAGCTCTGTGGAGCCAAGGGTGGTGAATTGGGCTGTTGTTACCAAAGGAGAAACTGGTTAGTGTTACATCTTTCCATGTGGGGTTGTTTCAATTTTGACTGTGAAATTGTGAAATTGCAGAGGAAGACAAGAAGCTGAACGCGACGTACATTATTAGTGTTGCTCGAAAGCTTGGCTGCTCCCTTTTCTTGCTACCTGAAGACATTATTGAAGTAAGTAGCAAACTACATTATCTTGCTAAACTTGTGTAATACCCCAATCGCTAACAGATATTGTCCACTTTGGCCCTTTACGTATTGCCGTCGGTCTTACGGTTTTAAAACGCGTTTGTTAGGAAGAGGTTTCATGTTCTTATAAGGAATGCTTCGTTCTCCTCTCTAATTGATGTGAGATCTCACAATCCACCCCACTCGGGGACCTATAATCCTTGTTGGCACACCGCCCAGTGTTTGGCTCTAATATCATTTGTAACAGCTCAAACCCACCACTAATAGATATTGTCTGCTTTGGCTTGTTACGAATTGCCATCAGCCTCATGGTTTTAAAACACGTATGTTAGGGAGAGGTTTCCACACTGTTATAATGAATGCTTCGTTCCCCTCTCCAACCAATGTGGGATCTCATAATCCACTCCCTCGGGGGCCCAGTGTTCTCGTTAGCACACCTCTTGGTGTCCGGCTGTGAGATCCCATATCGGTTGGGGAGGAGAACGAAACATTCTTTATAAGGGTGTGGAAACCTTTCTTTGTCAGTGTTTTAAAAACCAAACCTTGAGGAGAAGCCCGAGAGGGAAAGTCCAAATAGGACAATATTTGCTAACGGTGGGTTTGGACCGCTATAAATGGTATGAAAGCCAGACATCAGACGATGTGCCAGTGAGGAAGCTGAGCCCCATAGAGGGGTGGACACGAGGCGGTGTGCCAGCAAGGACGCTGGGCCCCGAAGGGGGTGGATCGTGAGATCCCACATCGGTCACATCGGTTGGAGAGGGGAACGAAGCATTCCTTACCAGGGTGTGGAAATCTCTCTCTAGTAGACTCATTTTAAAAACCTTGAGGGAAAGTTCGAAAGGGAAAGCCCAAAGATGACAGACAATATCTGCTAACGGTGGATTTGGGGTATGTAACTGTTACCTCCTATTAAATTCTTGTTCTGCCATGCCAACTTTCGACAGGTGAACCAAAAGATGATCCTCATACTAACTGCTAGCATCATGTACTGGAGCTTGCTGCAACAAGCAGGGGAGTCGGAGCTGTTAATCATGAACGACGATAACGTTTCAGATACGAACACAGAAACTACCGACGGGACCGAACTGGCCTCGGCTAACAAGGCCTGTGCTTTGGCCCAAAATGAGGACGAGTCTCCAGAAGAATCCTTAGCAAATCAAAGTGCAAATTCGTAATAGAGACCAACCCAGAAGAGCAAGGCAGCATTCTTTTTTTCCTTTTGATTAAATTTATTTATTGGGAGAATATATAATACAAGAAAAAAAATGGTTACAGTTTAGCTTATTCTACTGTTTGGTAATGGTTTACCTGTGGAGGAAATAGACTGTATATTCATTTTCTGGGAATTTTGAACTAGAAAATCTTGTTAATTAGGGCTGTATTTTCTTTTCAACCATTATAATAATATTATACAATAATTATGTGAAAGGGATTACTTTCTTATCCTTTCGTTTTAACGGTAATTAGTATGTACTTCTTTCAAAGGGCACGTTTTCATACTAAACTTTTTGTTCAAAAAATTATGTAACGTGGCTAGTAAAATGTGGGTGACGATAGAGAAAGAAGTCATTTGGATAGTTATGAATAGTAACCTATAGGGTGGAGAATCTCAATTTGAATGGAGAACGAGAGAGGGAGTGTAGCGAGATTTTTTTAGCTAAACGGGGTTGAGGATGGGAATATCCTTCCTCGTACTTGACTCTTTTCCTGCCCTGAGAGGGAAAGGTTTGATACCAAATGATAAGGAATCACTACAAGAGAAGTAAGATTTATCGAATATCTCTAACGCAAGAACACTTATTTGAGATCCGAAACTCTTTTCCTGTCCCGAGAGGGAAAGGTTTAATACCAAACTCTTTTCCTGCCCCGAGAGGGAAACAAGTATTTGAGATCCGAAACTCTTTCCTGCCCCGAGAGGGAAAGGTTTGATACCAAATGATAAGGAATCACTACAAGGGATAAGGAATCACTACAAGGGAAGTAAGATTTATCGAATATCTCTAACGCAAGAACACTTATTTGAGATCCGAATCACTTCAGAAGCAAGATTGATTATGTCTCGCTTGAATGATTCTAAAAATGCAATCTAAACTTAGCCCTAATAATAAAGAATCACTACAACGGAAAGTAAAATTTTGATCGAATATCTCAAGCAAGAACACTTTTTGAGATTCGAATTACTTCACAAGCAAGATTGATCATGTTAAACTTGAATGATTCTACGTGCAACCTAAACTACATACAATTACAAAGAAACTTAGTCATTGGCTAAAAAAAAGGACAAATACTTCTTTTACTACATTTTTCAAGTCTCTTTTACAACTATTTAAATGAGTGATACATGATCAATACATTGAAATCATATCCAAATAAGAGCGGTTACGAGAATAAGATGATTAAGAAAGACTTAAAAGAATTGAAAAGGACTATCTAAACAAACAATGTGCACATTATTTTTCGGTAGCTCAATCATAAAAACCTCAAGTGTCGAATCTAGATTTTGAATTGTTTTTGTACCCAATTCAATATGTCTACCCATATAGAAGTAGATTAGTAGTTACATTGAATGTTTATTTCAAGACTCGAACAATGAAGCCCCATCCTCTCATTGGCCGAAGAGAAACTTAGTTTATAATTGATCATAAACAAATTATTGATCAGAGAATCAGTGATAATTAAGGTAAAAAAATTTAATGATAGAGTAAAATAAAATTTGACCAATTCTAATTACAAACAATTTATGAAGGATCAACTTATGTATAGCGATTATATCAATGGATACAACTTCTCCTACGACACATATGAGTTCAACTATTCTATAGTAGGGTAAAACGTAACATAAATGAAAATTGTTTAATTAAAGATTTTAATTAATTAATTTTGTATCATTGAAGCTTAAAATATATAAGTCTATAAAGTTCATTTGCTAGCTCACGTAACACTAAAAAAAATTATTAAACCCATAAACTTTTATACGAAAATCAATTTGACATTCGTTCATACATCAATTCTCGCACGTTTACAAATTTCTTAAAAAACTTAGATTATCCACCTGAAAATCGTCAATTCAGTATTGAAAATTCATAAGCTTAATTGATATAATTAAAAGTTCACACTCATATAAACTACCCGAGTAAATTGATCGAGTTACGAATTATACCCGCGCAAATCTCCGAAACTTATAAACATATAAGTAGGATTCAATGCACACTAAAACTCAGGTAGGTGTGGGTTAGTTTATTTAGTTCCCATGGTGTTTGATCTTAGTGTCCACTTCAGTTCTTCGGAGGGCAGTTTCGTTTATAAGGACTGCAGGGTGTGGGTGGCGGATTGCAGAGGTACAATCGATTATAAGGATCGCAAACGGGTTTGTTGGGGTTTCGTGTGCGGGGGGTGGCGAAAGTGGTGCGGCCTTCATGTATGACCGCTGCTGCATCCAAAAACAAATTTAAGCTTTCACTATATATACTTAACCAAAACTAAAACCGTAGGCTGCACAATATGTAAGAACCTCACCATTGTTTCCGGCCACCATCAGCTTCCGGGCAGCAGCCAGCTCCGAGGAGAAGAGGAAAAAGAAGAGCAAGAAAGCCAAAAAGACCCAACCCTTCCCACCACTCATCTTAGTTGATATCTCTTATCACTATACTCAACAACAACTATGGTGGGTTTGAGATGAACTTGAGTGATTGGTTTCCTCATTCCATTGTGTTTTTATAGGCCATGGGAGAGGGACATGTTATTTCAATCCTATACACCTTATAAATATCTTCGACTATTCGATGTTAACTACGAATATATAAATAATTAATTAAAATAAGAAAGCTTATCCCACGTCTGTCACACTGAGAAAGTGGAAAATCTCATAATCCACTCTCATTGAGGGCTCAGTGTTTGGCTCTGATACTATTTGTAACAACTCAAGCCCAGAGCTAACAGATATTATCCTCTTTCAACTTTTCCTCGAGGGGAATAGGGAATCTCACAATCCATTCTCCTTGGGGGCTCCGTGTTATATCATTTATAATAGCTCAAGTTCACTGTTAATGTATATTATCATCTTTGAACTTTTACTTAAGGGGAGTAGGGAATCTCACAATCCACTCTCCTCGAGCACTCCATGTTTGGCTTTGATATCATTTGTAACAGCTCAAACTCACTGCTAACAAATATTATCTTCTTTGAACTTTTCCTTGAGGGGAGTGGGAATCTCATAATTCACTCTCCTCGAGGGCTCTGCGTTTGGCGCTGATACCATTTGTAACAACTGAACCCCATCACTAACATATATTCTTTGGATTAGGGAGAAGTTTCCATTCCCTTATAAGAATGTTTGGTTGCCGTCCCCAACCAATGTGAAATCTCATATATTTCTTACATGGAAAATTAATAAAATATTTCTTACGAGATGTATATTTCTAATCAATATTGCACCTTTAAACGTTGTATCATATGTTGAAGATTAGTCCTTATTATGATATGAAACAAACGTTTTGAATCCATAATCTATTTACTAAACGAGTTTAAGTTATTATCACAAGCAATTAAGGGATCATGACTATCATCACATTCAACAATACTAGCCTAACTAGAACTTTTAGTTAATTTTCTCGATTTTTTATTTGAACCCTGTTATTAAGTTTTCATATCATATCCTATATGATATAGGAGATATTGTCCGTTTTTTGTCCTATTACCTATAGTCGTCAGTCTCACATTTTAAAATATAATATAGAAGATACTGTCCGCTTTGGTTCGTTAAAACGCATCGAATGGAGAAAGATTTCCAAACCATTATAAGAAATGTTTTGTTTTCCTCTCCAACCCCCGTGAGATCTCACATATCTACTATTAAAAGTCGATGATATTTTAAAGACTTGTGTAGGTTAAAATATTATTGTCATTGGTTAGGTAGCTTTCAATTTTTGAATTAAATGGTCTTTTGAGTAAGTTGACTTACAAGTCAAGAATATATTAATAAAAATATTTGAAAAGAAAAAAATAAATTAAATTAAAATGAAAGGGATGGAAAGCGTATCGATGGTGTCGGTGTTTGAAAATTATATATAACTATGTTTGGTGTTATATGAAAATTATATTTTTATTTATTTTAGGAAATAAACGAATAAAACAATCTAAACTAATTCAAAATATCACTAAAAATATTTTTAAGTGTTAAGATTCAAAGTCGGGAGAGAATCAACCCGAAATCATACGTTAAAGTCTCGAAACAATTACTTTATGGAAAACGAAGTGATCGAACGACAAGGTTGACTTGGAAGCAGCTATACCGAAGCGTAACAGCTCATTGGCATTAGTTAGGTAGCTTTCATTTTTTTTTTTTTTTTTGGTATTAAATTGTGTTTGAGTCATTGACTTAACAAGTCAATAATATATTAATACAAATATTTGAAAAGAAAAAAATTAAATTAAATTAAAGAGAAGGGAATGTATTATGTCGATAAATAATATGTTTAAAAATTAAATATAACGTTATACGAGAATATTGTCACAATTTCATATAAATAAATTTCACGATACTATTTATGTATACATTGAACCATCATTCAAATTTTATGAGAAAAAATTATGTTTGTATTTATTTTAGGAAATTAATGAGTAAAACGTTCAAATTAATTCAAAATATCATATTTCACAGCCCATCCTTAACAGATATTATTTGCTTTGATCCGTTATATAATGTATCGTTGTTGGCATCATAGTTTTAAAATGTTCATCTCTCTAACTGATGTGGGATCTCACAATCCACTCCCTTGAGGTGTCTGCTTTGGCTCGTTACATATCGTCTTCAGCCTCACGATTTTAAAACGTTCTCCTCTCCAACTGATATGGGATCTCACAATCCATCACTTGCGCCAGTGTCTTCGCTGACACACCTCCCAATGCCTAGCTCTGATACCATTTGTAACAGCTCAATCTCACCGCTAACATATATTATCTGCTTTGACTCGTTATGTATCGTTGTTAGCATCATAATTTTAAAATGTTCCTCTCTCAATCCACCCCCTTGAGGTGTCCACTTTGGCTCGTTACATATCGTCGTCAGTCTCACGGTTTTAAAACATTCTCCTCTCCAATCGATGTGGGTTCTCACAATCCATCCCTTGGGCGAGTGTCTTCGCTAACACACTTTCGATTGCCTAACTCTGATACCATTTGTAACCGCTCATTCTCACTACTAATAGATATTGTTTGCTTCAGCCTGTTACGTATCGCTGTCAGTCTCACGGTTTTAAAATACGTCTATTAGTGAAAAGTTTCCACACTCGTATAAGAAATGCTTCGTTATTCTCTCTCACCCATGTGAAATCTATTAATTAATTAATTAATCGATTATATTTAAAATAGAATTGCAAATAAAAAATAAGAGCAAGTTAGAAAAGGTAGACAAAGAAATATATTATCTCTATAACTATATCCATGAATCTTTTACCAAGGGTATTATATTGAAATATATTCTATAGAGTCCTAACTAAATCCGTTAAGATTTGATTAACTAGTACTTTCGATCCCATCTATATTTTTAGGACTTTCAATCTCACTTTTATTTCTTATTCTTAATATGATATCAGAGCATCGTTCTTAATAATTAAGAACGCTCTCTCATTTCTATCTCTAAATTTGTTGCACGAACCAACCCTTTAAGATTTGATGAATTCACCAACTTCACTAACATTGCTGCAGCACTTGCTGCACCGGCCGCCGTTTTTGGTACCGCAGCAACCATGCTGGCAACCACCAACAGGACCGTGACCCCTGCAACTGTCAATGTAATTACCACAGCCGGGGTTGTCATCGACGCCACTGCCGCTGCCGTTACCTCCTCGGCTATACTTGGTCTGTAAAAGGTCTCTTGCGGCCACTTCTGAGGAGATGTCGACCACGATGACGCCCAAGACAAGACCCAAAAATGCAAATGCCTTAATGAAATTGGAACTCATTTCTTTCTTTCTCTAAAATCTTGTAATTTGGAGAGGGAATGAGGAGATCTTGCACCCTTTCTTAATCTATTTAAAGGCGGAAATGGCAAAATGAACCAAATTAAAAAGTTTACTTTTTTGACCTAATATCACTGATGTCGAAGATTGTCGGGGAATTCCACGTTGACTAATTTAGGAAATGATCATGAGTTTATAAGTAAGGATACATCTCCACTGGTACGACGCCTTTTAGGGAAGCCCAAAGCAAAGCTATGAAAACTTATGCTCAAAGTGAATAATATCGTACCATTGTGGAGAGCTGACAACTGACCCGATTATCTAATCAAAACTATAAAAGTTAGGTTGAGTTAGATTTTTTCGGTTGGGTAGGTTGAACTTTTGAAAAACTGAAAAATATAGGGCAATTCCCTAGTTAGACATTTTTTTTTTGTCGAGTTATAATCCTATTTTTAAAATCATTAGAGGATTAAGAATATTTTGATGTTTGTAAATAGCTGGTGATGTGTTGTAACTTGTGATGAGTTGTAAATTCTATTGGAGTTGCTGGAGTCACCAACCCAACCAATTTGAAGTTTCAATTTGGTCCGAAAGATTTTTCAATCCAATCTGTGTATACTATTACTTTCAACTTCAAAATTGGTTCTAAAACATTTGATTGAAGGAGTTTTTTTTTTTCTTATTGAAATAAGAACAAAAATGATACAACAAACTTCAAACGTAAGAATTGAAAATACACGTGATATGATTTATAATATCATCCATGTAAATTGACATGACAATTTTTGAGTAAAAATTGATTACGTAAATTATTGTGACGATATCTTTTGAAATAAAATAAATAGAGATACCGATCTTTATTTTTTACATAGTTGTAAATCTTTCTAACTTGGTGTATGATTTTTCTTATTTTTTTTTTGTCTGGGAGAGTTGTGATCCATTCTTTCAAATGGTAAATTATTATGTTTGGTAGAGGTAGATGTCAATTATTGTATTAAAGGGTCCTTCCACCAATATCTAGTCAATCATAGAAAATTTGAAAAGAAAAAAGGGACTAATTTCACTACAAATTCTATTATTATGTCCTTTGGACTTTATGACTTTCATATTTATGTTAAATAAAGATAGTGTTTTAGCTTAAGATTAATTACAAGTAATTCATATACCTTAAAAAATATAATGTTTTTTTTTTAATCTTTTTGATGTGACACCATAGATATTATTACTTTTGATAAAAATTTAACTTAAAAACATAATATATAGTTCTGAAAATAATATGATATTCATGTGACATGTTATTTCAAATTTAGAAATGATCCTTTTAATGACAATGGATTAGCAACAACGAAAGTAACGAGAAATACAAGTCCCCTAAAAATAATATTGAATAATATGTTTTGTCAAGTCAAAACTCGAACATATATATCATTTTTTTAATAGTTAATGAATTCTCAAATTCATAACTATAGGTCTATTTAGCCTCCGAGGTCAAGGTCCTGTAGGAAGCTACCTCGAACATGGGAGAGAATTCCGTTTAATCAGAAAATGGGGAGGGAGTGAAGATAAGTTTTTCTCCATTAACTAAGCGGGTCGAGGACGAATATTACATTCCCAACCTTATATATATATATATACACACAAAATTCTCGCTTTAATCCCGGCACAAATCAATAGAAAATTTTGTAAAAATAGAAAATGAAATAGGTGGGAATTGAGATGTTTTCACGGTCTCCGCCCGTGCTCCATGTACATCTCTATTCATAACGGACTATTTTGGTCTAATCGAACTGATCCAAAACTGAAGTTTCTCGATTTCCATTAAAAATTAAACCAATTTATTCAATTGAAAGTGAGAGAGGGAGAGAGAAGGAGAGTAAGTCAACTAAAACCTGGGCCAACAACCGCATGTGTTCAATTCTTTGGCTGTTCTTGAAAAATATTTTAGAAAATAAGGCTAGAATAACTTTTGGAATATGTTTGCAATGCATTGGCTAGCAATCAATAAAAACACAACAATAATTGTGATAATATTCATAGCATATAACTTCGGAATAAATTTTTCCACTAGTTTGGTACCTTATAAATAGGGTTTTAATTTGAAAAATAAAGCACCAGGCTAGCAGTTTTAAAACGAGTTCGTTAGAAGAAATTTCCACACCCTTCTGAGAAATGTTTCGTTTCTCTCTAACTAATGTGAGATCTCACAATCTACTCTTTTGAAGCCTAGCGTCCTCGCTAGCACACCACTCGGTGTTTGACTTTGATATCATTTATAACAGCCCAAACTCACTGCTAGTAGATATTGTCCGCTTTGACCCGTTACATATCGCCGTCAACCTCACAGTTTTAAAATGCGTCTATTAGAGGGAGGTTTCTACATTGTTACAAGGAAAGGTTAAATTTCAACGAGCATTAAAAAAGAAACAAATTTTAAGATTTACCTTTGGTAGTCTTAATAAGACAACCTTAATCGTAGCACTGTATGATTGAACAATTTGTTTACTAGGACTTGTTTTACCTATCTTATTATGCATGTACCTTCAACCAAGAGAGAAACATATTGCATCACCGATTATTGAAATACTAGTCTTAAAAATGAATTATTAAGGCTAAGTCAAATTATAAAAAGTATATGAAAAGAATATAAAAAAGTGTTAGAATTAGAAGAAAGAAATTATAGGAACAATATTTCACATGATTATTTAATTAACTTATACAATAAAGCTCAAAATACACACAATTAATCTCTTTAGTAGAGAGCTTACATGGACACGAACAAGCCTTCACAACTCAAGCATAATAATGCATTTATTCATAACTTACACAATCACTATAACATTGACTTGAACCAACCCCATTTTCAATTGTTAGGCTTGGCTTGTGGATCTTCATTAACATCCTCATCAGCCGAGCAACCGTGACGACAATGGTGGCGGTGCCTGTGGTGGTGCCTGTGGTGATGCCTGTGCCCATGGTGGCCTCCCCCGAAACGACGCTTGTCATCCTCGATTCCATCTCCGTTAGTCTCCATCACGGCTTCTTCAACTGTATGATATAATCAAAGCCCTAGGAATAGTAAGCTAAGTCCATAATTTAAATGTAATCATTAACGATATCATCGAACGAACATATGAAATAAAATTTTACCGCTCTTTAGACCTCTTGCGGTAGCTGAAGCCTCCTCCGAGGAGAGGAGGATGACAATGGTGAAAAGGAGGCCGAGGATGATGAAAGCTTTAGAATTCATTTTAAACGCCCGAGCTAAAGAAATACGGAGAAAGTTGTAGAAGGGATGAGAAGATTAGTAGAATTTTGAATGTATTTATAGGAGAAGATAGGAAGATGGGTTTCATTGGATTTAAATGGCAATTAAAGATTGTCCCTACTATATAGTTGAGTTGGTGTGCAATGGTTTCAATTTTGTTTGGAGATAAGTTTAGTTGATATTTCTCCAAAAATTTGAATGGATAGCAACAGTACCTATGGATAGCCACCAAAATTTTAAAAATATATTTTTATTCTTAATTTTTTAAAATTATTGTGGAAAACAAGGTTAGCACACCTCTTTAGACTTTTCTTTTCAGATTTTCTCTCAACGTTTTTAAAACGCGTATGTTCGAAGAGGTTCCACACCTTTATAAAGAATGTTTTGTTCACTTCTCCAAACGATGTAGGATCTCACAATCCACCTACCTTCAGGGCCTAGTGTTCTTGCTAGCACTCGTTATTCTCTCTAATTGACGTGGAATCTCACAATTCATCCATCTTTGGGGCCTAACGTCCTCGTTGGCACTCGTTCTTCTCTTCAATCGATGTGGGATCATACAATCCACCCCCATTAAGGGTCCAACGTCTTCGCTGACATACCGCTCGGTGTCCACCCCTTATTTACGCATAAAATAGTTACATTATGTATATGATAGCGACTTTAGATTAGTAAAATCTAAAGCAGTTACAAATATAATAGAATTATATAGGGGATAATGGGTAAAAATTGAAAGATATACATGACATTATTTACAACATTATTCACATTCATGGATAGGTGGTTGGATATATAGAAAATGATTTTAATGATATAGATTGATATTAAATAAATGGTTACAACGATCTAAATCTTCTACATAGCTATAGATGATGTCACCTACGTTTTTTTAATTTTTATCTACATAAATTATTTACACGTTATATTTTAATAAAAATATATTTGTTAATATTAAAATTAGTATTCCATGCAAGCCCTATCCCACTTGGTAAACTAGGCGGCTACTCGTGCAATGGAAAATAATTTGGGTTTTGGTAGTTGAATGTCCAATCAATAATAAACAATGGCAATTAAGTTTGATTTATTATTTGACGTTGTCGTTTTCAAATATGCCTATTAGTTAATGCACATGTTATCAAATTAGAGATAAAAGAGATATCCATGTGGAGGGGCATTTTCGTCCTCGACTCGTTTCAATTTTCATTTTCGTAAAACTTTTCATTTCCTTTTTCGATTCAACATGAAAATTTTTCGCTATTTTTCATGTTTTCAAAAAATTATTCTTTTTAATGAATAATTTCTATTTTTTAATATAAATTTTATTTAAAAATATAATATAATGTTCTACTAACCTAGGGTGGTCAGCAAAGTAAACAAAGTTATTGGAAAGACATGATTAGTTTACAATCTCTTAGCCGAGTTTTCATAATATAAAACATATTTCAAGTACCACTAATGAATGTTATCTGCTTTAGCCTGTTACGTATCGTTGTTAACCTCATAGTTTTAAAACGCATCTGGTAAATAGGGTTTCCATACTCTTATAAGAAATTTTTTGTTCTCCTCTCTAATCGATGTAGGATCTCTCCATCCACGCTCTTGAGGTCTCAGCATTCTCACTAGCATACTGCCCTGTGACTAGGTCTTACATTTGTAACAACCCAAGCTCACTATTAGTAGATATTGTCCGTTTTAGTCCGTTACGTATCGTCATAGGCTGCATGGTTTAAAACACATCTGTTAAAAAGAAGTTTCTACACCCTCATAAGAAATGTTTTATTCCCATTTCCAAAACAAGGTGGATTGAGAGATCCCACATAGTTGGAGAATTAACTCAAGTGCCAAATTATCCTCGACTGTTCAAAATTTTTTTTACTTCGTTGAAACCTAGCAAATAAGCAAAACTTCTCATTCGTTTTCTTATAAAGGAAGAATTTATGAGAGAAGAACGTGAACCAGAGACATTTTTTTACAAAAGTATTTTTGAAAATATTTGAATGACCGAGGATAACTGTGACACTTGAATTTTTTTTTTCCATTCAATATATCACACGAGAATGAATCAACATTTCTATTATACCATAAAAATTTGATATACAAGGCAACAAAATACAACTAAATGAATATAATATTAATAATAAGTATTTTAACCTATTTTAAAAAATATGATACTTAGAACCTGCCTCCTTTCATTCATAATTGTACGTTCCTCTATTACAAGAATCATTGAAGGAAGCGATCACAATATAGTTGTATAGTTGTAACAGTCGGGTTCGAAAATCTATAAATTTATTAATATCTGTCCATATCCATGTTTGAAATACTTTTACCGTTTGTCTCTTCTTCATCTAATGTCGTAAAATTGTTAGTTGCCAACTATACCTTCTCGTAACATATTTAAAAGTTGTAGCAACAAATTATATTAAATAATTCAAAATAATAACTTTTAATTATATCATCATTTATATATATAAAATACAGTGACTTTTAACGATTGAAATGTGTTCACGTGATAGAGATACCTAAAAACGTCTCGATTTGATCGGCATGAACTCAAATTTTTAGCATACATTAAAAACCAAATACAAAAGGAAACCTAAGCCATTCCATTCCCCATGCATTTATTACTCAAACTTCACTCACACACTAACCAAGCACAAACCTTAGGGCTTTGCACCCTCCACCACTTCACCAGGGTAGCTGCAGCACCTGTAGCCACATCGACCATACCGGCAACTGTGGCCATTGTGGCCACTGTAGCCACGACGGCCGCCATAGCCACCATGGCCATAACCACCACCTTGGTAACCACCATGATCATGGCTTCCATAACCTCTATCATATTTGGCATCCTTTATGCCATTGATCTCCACCCTCACCTCTACAACATAAAATTTATCAGTAAATAAACCTTTCACATTTTTTTTAAGAAAGTTCTTATCGTATAAGACTCATCATTGTCCTTTTCCGACGTTTTCGCTAGGTCTCTAGCAGACACCTCGGAAGAGATGAGGAGAACGAAAGCGAAAAAAAGATCGAGGAAAACAAAAGCCTTGAAACTCATTTTTGTGGGTAGTAAGAGATTTGTTTTTGAAGATGAGATGAGTAACTGCCTCATTCTAAATCTAAATGTATTTATAGTCACCAGAGTAGAGAGACTATGTAATAGTTCAACTCCACCCCTAGTATATATTGTCCACTTTAATGAGTTATCTATTGTTATCTGTCTTATGATTTTAAAATGCATGGAGAGGTTTCCATACTTTTATAAAAAAAAATGTTTTGTATCTCTCTCCACAACTAACGTGAGATCTCACAATATATATAATGCTTGGTTGGAGAGAGGAACGAAACATTATTTATAATGATGTGGAAATCTCTCCTTAGTAGATGCGTTTTGAAATCATGAGGCTCATGATGACGATACGTAATAGATCAAACCAAACAATATCTACTAACAATCCACTTGGACTATTAGCGATGGAGAGAATTTATACCTGGCAATTAAAAGATAACCCATAATTTAGTTGGGTGTTAATCTATTTTGAAATGAGACTTCAAAATCTTATATTTAGAAAAAAATATAAATATAAATATAAATAATATATTTGCTCGACTTAAAAAAAAAAAAAACACGTGATGAATTAGCTCAACACAAACCTCAAACGCACTTCTTAAGAATCAAGCAAAGATTAAAGAAGAGTTTGCTTCTTAAGAATCAAGCAAAGATTAAAGAAGAGTTTGCATCAATATACTGCATACTTCAATAGCACGTGCTGAACAAGTATGATCATACTATATGGCAACCAATCGACCAAGTTGAAGTTTTGGACGGATTGAGTGATAATTATGTGCATAATTTCTTTTGCCACTAGTTTGGTACCTTACAAATAAGGTTTCAATTTAAAGGATTGCTGCAATTAATACCCCATCAATTAGCTACGTTTCATTTTTATTTAAAATTGTGTTTGCTTTATAAGTGGATGAGATTATTTTTGTAGGTATTAATTGCTACGTTCCATTACTCAATTTTATCCTTAAATTCGATTATTTTAATGAAAAATTATTTGAAGAGGCTTCCAAAACAAGGCTGACAATTTAAAATAATATCACGATTTTGTAGTTAGGTTCATGGTTTTAAAATGAGTTTGTTTGGAAGGATTCCAAGCCCTTACAAGAAATATTTTGTTCACCTATTTAATTGATGTGGGATCCCACAATTCACTCCTGTGGAGTCCAGCATCCTCGGTAGTACACCGCTCGGTGTTTGACTTTGATATCATTTATAATAGCTCAAACTCACCGCTAACAGATATTGTCCGCTTTGACTCGTTACATATCGCTGTCAGTCTCACAATTTTAAAACACATCTATTAGGGGAGAGGTTTCCACACTGTTATAAAGAATGTTTCGTTCTCCTTTCCTAACGTTGGATCTCAACAAGCCTTAAAAAAGAAACAAATTTTAAGATTTACCTTTGATAGTCTTAATGAGACAACTTTAATGGTAGCATTGTCTGATTGAATACTTTGTCTACTACGACTTGTTACACGTATCTAATTATACATGCACCTTCAACCAAGAGAGAAATAGCATCATCCATAATTGATATACTAATCATAAAAATGAATTATTAAGGCTATGTTAAACTTTTAAAAAGTATATGAAAAGAATATAAAAAAGTGTTAGAATTAAAAAAAAAAAAAAAGAAATTATTAGGAACAATATTTCACATGATTATATAATTAACTTATACAATAAAGCTTAAAATACACACAATTAATCTCAACAGTAGAGATTAACTAATGCCCTTGTCGTTGGGTAAGCTTACATGGACACGAACAAGCCTTCACAACTCAAGCATAATAAGGCATTTATTCATAACTTATACAATCACTATAACATTGACTTGAACCAACATAGTTTTCAATTGTTAGGCTTGGCTTGTGGATCTTCATTAACATCCTCATCATCATAGCAACCGTGACGACAATGGTAGCGCCTGTGGTGCTGGTGCTTGTTGTGGTAGTACATGTCACGATGCCTGAACCCTTCGATTCCATCTCCATTAGTCTCCATCACGGCTTCTTCAACTATATGATATAATCAAAGCCCTAGGAATAGTAAGCTAAGTCCATAATTTAAACATAATCATTAACGATATCATCGAATGAACATATGGATTAAAATTTTACCGTTCTTTAGCCTCTCGCGATAGCTATAGCCTCCTCCAAGGAGAGGAGGATGACAACGGCGAAAAGGAGGCCGAGGATGATAAAAACTTTAGAATTCATTGTAAACGCTCGAGCTAAAGAAATACGGAGAAAGTTGTAGAAGGGATGAGAAGATTAGCAAAATTTTGAATGTATTTATAAGAGAATATAGGAAGATGGACCATTGGATTTAAATGGAAATTAAAGATTGTCCCAATGGTTTCAATTTTGTTCGGGAGATGAGTTTTGTTGATATTTCTTCAAAAATTTGAATGGATAGCAATACCTATGGATAACCTTCTAAATTTATAAAATAAAGATATATATTTTATGCTTAATTTGAATGGATAGCAATACCTATGGATAGCCTCCTAAATTTAAAAAAAAAATTATGCTTAATTTTCAAAATTTATTGCATGAAACAACGCTCATTAAATGAGCAGCTCAAGTTCACGGTCCGTAGATATTGTCCTATTTATTTTCGGGTTTCTTCTTAAGGTTTTTAAAACGTGTTTGTTAGAGGAAGTTTCCACACCGTTGTAAAGAATGTTTTATTCTCTTCTCCAACCGATGTAGAATCTCACAATCCACCCATCTTCGGGATCCAGCGTTCTTGTTGGCACTCGTTCCTCTCCCCAATCGATGTGGTATCTCACAATTCACTCCCTTTCATGGCCCAACGTCCTCTTGCTAGCATACCGCCTGGTATCCACCCCTTATTTCTACCTAAAGTGATTATATTATGTATATAGTAACGACTTTAGGTTAGTGAAATCTAGGGTCGTTACAAATACAATAGAATCATATGGGGGAATAATGTGTAAAAATTGAAAGATATACATAACATCATTTTCAGCATTATTAACGTTCCTAGACACGTGGTTGATATATAGATAATGATTTCAATGATATATTGATATTAAATAAATGGCTACAACGATCTAAATCTTCTACATAATTACGGATGATATTAAGTTCGTTTTTGTTTTTTTTTTTTTATTTTGATCCACATAAATTATTTACATGTTTTATTTTAATAAAAATATATTTGTTTTGAGTGATATTAAAATTAGTATCCCATGCAAGGCCTATCCCAAGGAGGATTTATAAAAAATTTCATCCACGGCCGCCACCGTGACCATTGTGGCCGCCGTAGCCACCATGGCCATAACCTCCACGGCCGCCGTAACCACCACCGTGGTAACCACCATGATCATGGCCTCCATAACCTCTATCATATTTGGCATCCTCTATGCTATTGATCTCCAACCTCACCTCTACAACATAAAAATTTATCAATAGATAAACATTTCACATTTTTTAAAGAAAGTTCTTATATGATAAGACTCACCATTGTCCGTTTCCGAGGTCTTCGCCAGGTCTCTAGCGGACAACTCGGAAGAGATGAGGAAAACAAAGGCGAAAAGAAGACCAAAGAAAACAAAAGCCTTGGAACTCATTTTTGTGTGTAATAAGAGATTTGTTTTGGAAGATGGGATGAATAAGATGTGCATCACTCTAATATGTATTTATAGGCATCAATAGGGAGACTATGTAATAGTTCAAACCCACCGCTAGTATATATTGTCATCAGCCTTATGATTTTAGATTTTAAAACGGGTTTCCATACATTTATAAAAAATGTTTTGTTACTCTCTCCAACTAATGTAGGGTCTCACAATATCTATAATTGGTTAGAGAGGGGAACGAACATTTCTTATAAAGGCGTAAAAATCTTTCTTTATTAGACGCATTTTAAAATTATAAGACTGATGACGACCGTGCGTAATGAGCCAAAGCAAACATGTACTAGCTGTGGATTTGGACTGTTACAGATGGGAAGAATTTAGACCCGACAATTAAAGGTATACGACATGATGGAGATAGAATGGGTGAAAGCTCTCTTTTTAACTCAAAGAGAAGGCCTTTTCTCATACCTAAAACTCTTGCATCACTCAAATTCTCGTGCTTAATTTAAGCATCGAAGTTATGTCATACACGATCGAATTGATCAAGAATCAGTAAACCTTTTTAATAAATGTAGGTGCACCATTTTCAAACTTTCAAATTGGTATATTGATTGAGAAATTCAGAAGTAGTTGTTAGCATTTATTAAGAGGGGTCTAATTCATCAGTGTTTATGTCAGAGCAAAGCTTATTGGGGAGACTATTTCAGCTGCAGAGATGAGGATAACCACTAGTGTAACATGGGGTCATTTGACAAGATCTCTTGTTCTTCCTAAAATTTAATTCAAATATGGCTGGCGCGTTAGAGAAAGGGAGTGAGTGTGTTAGGTTCTTTCATTTATACATTGCCACAAATGAGCCCTTAAATGTAGTTAATACCATTAATACTATACATATATAGTCATGCTTCAAAACTAGGGATGTCCTTTAGCCAATTACTCGATTGGTATTGATTTTGACTTCAAATCTAAGGATGGAGTGAAGAAGAAAAAAGAGTGAGATCTCACATCGGTTGGAGAGGCAAACAAATTTTTTTTTATAAGGGCGTGGAAACCTCTCCCTAAAAAACGCGTTCTAAAATTTGTGAGACTGCAGGCAAAGCATAACGAGCCAAAACGGATAATATCTGCTAACAGGACTTGAGTTGTTACAAATGGTATCAGAGCCAGACATCGATCAGTGTATCAATGAGGACGCTAGGCCATCATGAGAGGTGAATTGTGAGATTCCAGATCGATTAGAGAGAAAAATGAAATATCTTTCGTAAGGATATAAGGGTAAGGGTATAGAAACCTCTTAGATAATACATAATAAAAAAAATAATGGATTGACTGGTTGGTTTCGCTTCCATCGACCTATACAAGTGGGGTAGAGTGAGATGGAAACTTAAGGATAATCAATCATTTTATTTTGGCATGGTGTCCAGCTTATGAACATAGGAAATGGCGAAAGGGGGACATCTTTCCTGCTTCCAATAATTTAAAATGGTCACTCACTTTAAGACGGTTTCTTTTTAAGGATTTCTCGTAAAATTGAACACAAATTATATGAAGTAATTTGACTAAAAAGAACGTTTTTTTAGTTAACCTAATATTAAGATAGAAATCAAATAATCAACAAAGGTAGGGTTACGTTCTGACTTTAAAGAAATAAATATCTGCTAATTATCGCTTACTTAGATAGATATTTTTACCGATTGAACTATGCTCAAGTTATCGAGATAGAAACCGGATTTGCAAACAGAAACACACTAAAAACCAAACACGGAGAAAGAACAGCCGAGGCATTCCATTCCCCATGCATTTATTTCTCAAACATTAAACCATTTCATTATTTCAGCACACCCACTATGCCTTATGGCTTTGCACCCTCCACCACTTCACCGGCGTAGCTGCAGCACCGGTAGCGACACCAACCATGCCGGCAACGGTAGCCACCATGACCGTGCCCATCATGGCCGCCATGATCGTAGCGACCACGACGGTATCCCCTATCATATCCTCCATACTTGGCATCCTCTACGCCATTGGTCTCCATTGTAGCCACTACAACATCATCATTAAAATTAACGCCAAGTGAAACTAAACTAAACATTACGGTCAAGATTTTAAGTGTCATAGAATCTTATCATGTGAGACTCACCATTTTCGTTCTTGGCCGAGGTGTGTGCGAGGTCGCTCGCAGCCACATTCGAAGAGATGAGGAGAACAAAGGCGAAAAGAAGGCCGAGGAAAACAAAAGCCTTGGAGCTCATTTTTTTGTGTGTAGTAAAGATCGATTTTTTGAGATGGGATGAGTAAGATTTGCATCCTTTTTGAAGTATTTATAGGCATAAAGAATAAAAGAGATGAGTTGAATTATGACATGGGGATTTATGACTAACCCATAATTTCGTTGAAAACATTTTGAAATGACTCAGCTCTCTTCCAAATCTTATCTCTAGGGAATGATAATGTTTCACGACTACGAACCTCTACAATGGTACGATAAGCTCTCATGGTTTTGCTTTTGAATTTTTTAAACAGCCTCGTATCGAAGTATTATTTACTTATAAACCCATGATCAAATCTTTAATTACCCAATGTGGGACTCCTCCCCACAATCATCAATACACTAGTTATCATCGTGCAACTTTAAATTCAAATCGACGTCTCTTAACTGTTTTAAAACTATTTTAAAGTTCAAAACTCGTTAGAATGTTAGACGAAAAGTCGACATGTCTAAATATTGTTCTGTCAAATTATTTTCATGCAAGTGGACCTGTGAGATCCTACGTTAGTTAGGGAGGAAAATGAAGTATTCTTTATAAGGGTGTGAAAGTCTCTCCTTAGCAAACACATTTTAAAACTTTGAGGGGAAGTTCAAAAGACTCAAAAGAAGACAATATCTACTGGCGGTGGGTTTACGGTTATAAGACCAAAACGGTTCAAAATATTGAACAAAAAAATTTGACATGATGATGATCCAGAACCACTTGAAAATGATCTAAATAATAATCAACATATTGAAAAAGGGTATTGGGTGATGAGTAAACTTTGAAATGGGCATATTCATTGTGCAAATCAAATGTGGATCCTTGCATTAATCTAGTGGGTTCTAGTACATCATTGTTTATGTCAGGCACAGCTTCTCATGGAGATTATTTCATTTACAAGGATGGGGCAACATCTTGTGTAACATGGTGGGGTGATCTGACCCATCATATTAATAATTCATTTCAAATAAATCTCAAAACTATGTCCAATCCATTTCTAAGACTATTTGAAAACTTCATTTTGTGTCTTTTTAAAATTATGTTCGAAATAGGGTGCTAGCATGGTCAAATTTGGTTGGCACTGCTAGGAAATGAAGTATGTCAGGTCCTTTCATTTCAGACTCTTAAATGCACTTAATACAATCCATTTTATGAATGCAATTAATACTATATAAAATTAAAAAAAATTAAAAAAAAAAAAAAACTATATGAGTGATATCCCATATTGGGTAGGAAATAGAACAAAACACCATTTATAAGGATGTGGAAACTTTTCCCTAACAGGCTCGTTTTAAAGCTCTGAGGAGAAACCTGAAAGGAAAAACCAAAAGAAAACTATAGGAGGCTATCCCCCGAATGAGTAGATACAAGGTTGTGTGTCAGCAAGGACATTGGGCTCTGAAGGGAGTGGATTTGGTGGAGTCACACATCCGATTAGAGTAAGGAACAAGTGTTAGAAAATATGTTGGGCCCTGAAGGGGATGAATTGTGATAGTGTGTGAAAACCGGACCGTTACAAGATAGCACGTATGTAGTCCAGAATAGGGACAGTTGAGATTGAGTAGCATATGATGATTACGTTGAAATATTAATTTTCTCAATTGATAAATTTGTAAAGATTGAATAAATATTTTAGAATTTGATCTTATACAAATTCATTGTATATAACATTCTCACTCATATGCCTTCATATGAATTATTATATGAATTATTCAGATCTCACTCATATGCCTTCATATGAATAATTCATGAATTATTATATGAATTATTCAGATCAAGTCATTTATATCTATAACAAAGTAGGTAATATCAATAATGTTACCAATAAAACCAATCTTATTAATTTACTATAGGCTTTTTTAAATTTTTTTTAAATTTTTTATTTTTTTTTATTAATGTGTCATTCACATAGTCTACCCCTATAATTTTAAATTTTTAGGTCAGAGTTAATTTAGATAGTAAATAAAAATAATAAAATAGCTATTAATATTAAATCAATAATTATGTTGTTTTATAATATAAATCGCAACCATTTGTCAACCATTTGGCATTTTCACTAAAATTGGTAAGACGTGCATCTAAATTGGTAAGATGTGTATCTTAGGGCCAACTCTACCTAACACGTTTTCATATGACATGCCTCATAATTTCAAATACTTCAGATGTGACACTAAGAAGGGATACATAAATATGACATGCCTCGTAATTTCAAATACTTCGGATGTGACACTAATAAGGGATACATAAATAAATCAAGACCATATCTAAATAAGAGGGATCATGAGAATAATATAACTAAGAAACTTGAAAAAAAAAATTAAAGTTACTATCTATATCTTTTCACAATGAAGTGCACCTTCTTTTTCAAGAGCTCAATCATAGAAAGTTAAAATACTTGGAGCAATTCTATATTAGATGACCTCTCAAAGATTTTTCGAGGATGCGCGTGAGCGATGGCAAAGATTTCCCTACGATGCGCGCGAGCGATGGCAAAGATTTCCCTACGATGCGCGCGAGCGATGGCAAAGATTTCCCGACGATGCGCGCGAGCGAAAGATTTCCCTACGATGCGCGCGAGCGATGGCAAAGATTTCCCTACGATGCGCGCGAGCGATGGCAAAGATTTCCCTACCATGCGCGCGAGCGATGGCAAAGATTTCCCTACGATGCGCGCGAGCGATGGCAAAGATTTCCCTACGATGCGCGCGAGCGATGGCAAAGATTTCCCTACGATGCGCGCGAGCGATGGCATAGATTTCTCTACGATG